TGAGTCACTGCGCCCGACCTTAATATTTGTATTTTTAGATACGGGGTTTTACCATGTTGGCCGGGCTGGTCTCAAACTCCTGACCTCATGATCCTCCCGCTTAGGCCTCCCAAAAAGTGTTGGGATCACAGGCGTGAGCCATCGCACCTGGCCGAAGTAATAATTTTCTAGACCAGCTATCTATTAGTATTTACCTCTTACAGGTTGAATATCCCTTATCTGAGCTTCAGGGGACCGGAAGTATTTCACATTTCAGAATTTTATGGATTCTGGAATATCTGCATTATAATTATCGCTTGAGCATCCCTAATTTGAAAATCTGTAACTTGAAATGTTCCAATAAGCATTTCCTTTGAACATGGCCTTTGAGTGTCATGTCAGCAGTCAAGATGTTTTGTATTTTTGTATTAGGGCTGCTTAACCTGTACTAGAATATGATACTGTACTAGTCACCATGGACTAGGCATGTAGAATTGTGTGATATACTTCACTATACATGTTGTACAATGTTTTTAAAAAAAATTTTATAGAATGTTTAATATTAAGATAAGCTTTTGGTATTCTGCAACATATGTAGGATGATATGGTGAAATCTCAAAGTGTTGTTGTTTTCGGATAAAGTGGAAAATAAGAGGTTGGCATGGGAAACAATTGAAAAACAGAATAGCATGGTCAAATCAGCACTTTAGAACACTGACAGTTCTGGAGAAAGCTCTCATAGCAATCTAGCAATTGATGGTGGCTTTAGACAGGATTAGTGAAGATGGACTAAAAATACTGTATATGAAACAACAGGACAATAAGATAATGCGTACTTAGAGCAGATGTTTGAGTAGTTGTTATGAGTTGAGCCCTTGTAGGCTTTTTTTTTTTTTGAGATGGAGTCTTGCTTTGTTGCCCAGGAGGAAGTGCAGTGGTTTGATCTCAGCTCACTGCAACCTCCGCCTCCCAGGTTCAGGCAATTCTCCTGCCTCAGCCTCCTGAATAGCTGGGATTACAAGTGCACACCACCACACCCAGCTAATATTTTTGTATTTTTAGTAGAGACAGGGTTTCACCATGTTGGCCAGGATGGTCTCAAACTCCTGACCGCATGAGCCACTGTGCTCGGCTGACTAGGCATTTTTAATACAAACATAAATAAGTTTCCATTTGTATTCTTAAAGCTGATCTTTCAAATAAGAGAGAGATGATGGTCACAAGAGAAAATGATGACTACACTAAAAATAGAGTTTTGTGTTGGGAATAAGTACTAAATGGTTTGGAATATATATTTTTTTCTTTTTTACCTTAAACTATTAAGATATAAATGGTTTGGAATATTAAGTGACACTGAAGCTTGGGGAAAAGAGGTCACTTTATAAGCTAAAGGATGGGGTAATGGAGGAATTGAAACTTAAGCTGGGCCAAAAAACCCCAGCTAGGTGAAATAAGAGTAAAGAAGAGTATACACAAAGCAAGAATGCTCAAAGACCCATATTTGCTTAAAAAGTGAACACATTTTATCTGAGCCTGGGGTCTTCAGGTTCCTCTTTATGCAAGTAAAGGTAAAGCTGAAAAAAGTATTCTTCATTAATAGGCTTGAAAGAAGGAACGAGTATATATTCTTGTGATTGCTAGTCTGCTAGGGCTGCCGTAGCAAAATACCACAGAGTGAGTGGATTAAATAACAGAAATTTTCTCACAGTTCTTGAGGCTGGAAGTCCAAGATCAAGGTGTCAGCAGTGTTGGTTTCTCCTGAGGCCTATCTCCTTGGCTTGCAAATGGCTACCTTCTTGCTGTATATGGCTTTTCTCTGCGAGTGTCCTCTGGTGTCACTTTTCTTCTTTTTTTTTTTCTCAGGCTGGAGTGCAGTGGCGCGATCTCTGCTCACTGCAAGCTCTGCCTCCTGGGTTCACCCCATTCTCCTGCCTCAGCCTCCTGAGTAGCTGGGACTACAGGCGCCCACCACCACGCCCGGCTAATTTTTTTTTGTATTTTTAGTAGAGACGGGGTTTCACCGTGTTAGCCAGGATGGTCTCGATCTCCTGACCTCGTGATCCGCCCACCTCGGCCTCCCAAAGTGCTGGAATTACAGGCGTGAGCCACCGCGCCCGGCCGACTTCTCTTCTAATAAGGACACGATCCTATTAGATAAAGTCCTCACTCTTATGACTTCATTAATCTTAATTAGCTCTTTACAGGCCCTGTGTCCCAATAACAGTCACAGCAGGATTAGGGCTTCAACATACATGTTTTGGGGAAACAAAAATCAGTCCATAAGTGATTTTGAGGTTTTTATGTTTTTCAGAATGTGGCACTAATATTTTATAGTTTTGAGGTTTCGAGTACAGAAAAAATATAATGGATAAATGTTAACATTCTGTCATATTTGCTTCTCAGGGGTTTTTTTGGTTTTTCTTTTTTTTTTTTTTTTCAGATAAAGATATTTCTGGAGCCCATTTAGTTAATTGGCATCCTGCAGTTGATGTGCCTTAGAATTGGTGTTTTAAAGCTGAAAAATGCTGCTGTATATGATAAACTGCTGGCTGTTTTTTAATATGGTATTTTGGATGGTAAACTTAGAGCCAACTGTCAATTTTCTGATAACTCTGTAAAACTCTTTATATATACTGTCCCTTATTTCCTAGATTGTACCTTTGCTTTATCCTTTTTTTAAGAGGAGGTAGATGTACATTTTTGCATATTTAAGTGGACTATTTTGTCCTATTCAGCCAGATTAAGAGAGATATCACTGATCAAAAATGTGTGTGTTTTCTTTGTAGTCTGAAATGGTTGTGACAAATAATCTCTTGGATCTGCCGCCCCCCTCTCCACCCAAACCAAAAACCATTGTCTTACCTCCCAACTGGAAGACAGCCCGAGATCCAGAAGGGAAGATTTATTACTACCATGTGATCACAAGGTAAGAAGAGCTGTATGGGCATTCCCATATCTGCTTTTACTTGATCAAAGAAGTTGCCACTATAAGGAGAGTTTTACAGTTGTAAACTTCTTGTCATTAGCTGTTCACTGCACTTGAAGGCACTGGATTTCCAGAATTACATCTTAAATGTATTTTAGACCTTAAACTTTGGTTCTTTTTTTATTTGTTTTAGTGTATTTTTATTTTATTTATTTTGTCACGCAGGCTGGAGTACAGTGGTGTGATCTCGACTCACTGCAACCTCTGCCTCCCGTGGTCAAGTGATTCTCATGCCTCAGCCTCCCCCAGTAGCTGGGATTTCAGGCATGTACCACCATGCCTGGCTAATTTTTGTGTTTTTAGTGGAGATGGGATTTCACCTTGTTGGTCAGGCTGGTCTCGAACTCCTGACCTCAGGTGATCCACCTGCCTTGGCCTCCCAAAGTGTTGGGATTGAGCCACCGCATCTGGCAGTTTTGGTGTATTTTTAATCCACAAGACTCTTGGAGAAAGCTAAGGAGATTTTTTAAATGTTTCTTCATCTAATATTGTAAAGTATCAGGGGTCACAGACATCTTTTCTGTAAAAGGCCAGAAAATAAATATTTTAGGTTTTGCCAGCCAAGCAGTCTGTATCATAGCTACTCAACTCTGCTGTTGAATTTTTTTTACGGACAGCACTCTTCTATTTCCAGATTAAATAGCTAGATTGTTTATCCTTGACACATATTATTTACGCTTGTTATAGAAAGCAAATATAGTACAAAAGTACTAAAAAGGAAGTATAATTACTGGAGCTGCCACTACTCAGAGATAACTAATGTTTTTAAAATACCTTTTAGACAGATAGCTTTATGTAGGTATATGTACTTTGTGTGTGTGTGTGTGTGTGTGTGTGTGTGTGTATACACTCATCTCTATACTCTTACGTAAATTGTTAAGATACATGTTTTTGTAGTCTGCTTTATTTACTAATCTATTTTATAGAGCTTTATCAATTCACATAGAACTATGGAATTTTTTCTTTAAAAAATTTTTTTTTTCTTTTTTTTGTAGAGACAGAGTCTTGCTTTGTTGCCCAGACTGATCTTCACGAACTCGTGGCTTCAAGCGATCCTCCCACCTAAGCCTCCCAAAATGCTGGGATGACAGGCGTGAGGCACCACACCCAGCTACAACTGTTAGTTTTAGTAATTGTTTATACTTTGTTGCAGGGCTGGCAAACTATGCCCACAGGCCACTTGTTTTGGCAAATAAAGTTTTATTGGAACACAACCATGCACATTTGCTTACAAATTGTCTACGGTTGCTTTCACACTACAATGACAGAGTAGTTGTGATAGAAACCATATGGCTCACAGGTCAAAATATTTATCGTCTAATCATTTACAGAGAAAGTTTGCCAACCCCTGCTCTATTGTATAGCTATATCAAATTGTATTTAACTCACTCTGATTGATAGGTCTTCACTATTTTATATGTAACTATAACCCTGAACATCCTTAGGGACACTAATCTTACTACTTCTTCAAGAGGGTACCTAGAAGTGGAATTGTTGGGCAAAACAGGTACACGTTTTAAATTGAGAAATATTGTCAGCTTACCGTTAAACAATAGTTTGTATCAATTTGGAATCTCACAAAAAAAAAGTGTATAAGTTCCTTTTAGTCACGTACAGCAGCTCATGCCTGTAATCCTGATGCTTTGGGAGGCTGGGGCAGGAGGATCGCTTGAGCCCAAGAGTTTGAGACCAGCTTGGGCACCATAGTGAAACCCCATCTCTACAAAAAATACAAAATTAGCTGGGCATGGTGGTGTGCACCTGTAGTCACAACTAGTTGGGAGACTGAGGCAAGAGGATCACTTGAGGCAGGAGGTCAGATCTGTAGTGAGCCATGATTGTGCCACTGCATTCTGGGTTGGGTGACAGAGCAAGACCTTGTCTCAAAAAAAAAAAAAAAAAATCCTTTTCCATCATGTCCTCTCTTTTAACCTTGCAAGTCTAACAGGTGGGAAATATTTTTATTTTCAGTTATTTTACTATTGAGATGGGATGTCTTCATTGAATTGTTGGTCATTTGTATCTTTTGTGAGTTAATTTGTTTGGGACATCTACCCGTTTTCTGTCCAGTGTTAGATTTCTTTATCAAGAGTATTGCAGATGTTTTTGTTTCTGATGTCTTGTGACATAAAGAAGTTTAAAATTTTCATATATTTTCCCTATATGCTTTCTGCTTAGAAGGGCCTTCCTTATTTGCATTAAAATGCTTCTATAGGCTGGGTGCAGTGGCTCACGCCTGTAATCCCAGCACTCTGGGAGGCCAGGACGGGCAGATCACCTGATTTCAGGAGTTCAAGACCAACCTGGCCAACGTGGTGAAACCCCGTCTCTCCTCCAGATATAAAAATTAGTTGGGTGTGGTGGCAGGTGCCTGTAAATCCCTGCTACTTGGGAAGCTGAGAGGCAGGAGAATTACTTGAACCCTGGAGGCAGAGGTTGCAGTGAGCCAAGATTGCACCACTGTACTCCAGCCTGGGTGACAGAGTGAAACTCTGTCTCAAAAAACAAAAAGGCTTTTATAAAATGAGCCCTCATTATGTTGCTAATTGAATGTGTAATGATTTTAAAAACTATGTGTGGTTTAACCAGAACTTTTTTTTTTTTTTGAGAAAGAGTTTTCACTCTTGTTGCCCACACTGGAGTGCAGTGGCACGATCTAGGCTCGCTGCAACCTCTGCCTCCAGGGTTCAAGTAATTCTCCTGCCTCTCAGTTTCCTGAGTAGCAGGGATTATAGGTGCCTGCCACCACGCCCAACTAATTTTTTTTTTTTT